AGTTAAAGTTAAGTATACTACGTAACGTAACTTAATTAGTTTAAGTTTAATTTAGTTAAACTTAAATACTAAATACTATATGTGTAGTTTGTTGTGTGTTTATATATATATATATATATATATATAAGTATTACTATATTGAAAGATTCTGTTGTAATTTCAAACTTACAATAAAAAACTGAAAGCAAATTGAATCACACTTTTTTTACCAAATGAATGTAAGATGTAAGAGATGTTCCTTTGACAGTCTTTTCGACATAACAGCCAAAACAGGTGGAAATATTTGAATTCTATTGTAAACCAATGTTAGAACAGTATCTGAAACCACAATTATAAACCAACCGAACAAGACTAAAGAGACTTCCTTTATTAACAAAGAATATATTTCATAAGAGATAAAAATTCATGTTATGAAAATATTTTAGTATTGCAAATGTTTCAAACCACTCTGGACTTGGCATTACACAAGAGATTTCAACAATACAGCCACACAGAATTACAACAATGCTACACCAAAATTTCAAATACAAGTTGTAACAATGTATCAATAATAACAAAAAAGTAACACATGTATATCAATGTCACATTGAATGTCAAGTTTAATAAAGATTTTCATAATGTGCTTTCTCCTCAGCCTACTTATATCTTCCAGTATTCATCACCTTCAAAGTTAGCTTTTATAAGTTTGTTATTATTAGCAACTTGAGATGAACAGTTCACCCCCATGGTGAAAGACCTAAAAGCACTCTGGTCATTAAATTTTTTAAACTAAATGTATAATTCCAAATTCTATGTAAATAGAACAATGGAAATAGTAAATTTGGTTTCTTTCAGAATGGGCATCATTTTGTGCACATGTCAAGAGGTTTTAATGAGTTACATTCAAAATTTAATTAAACTACTTTCATATCAAGGTATATAAATAAACTTGATATAAAACATAGCTAATAATTCAAAGTTTAACATTATATAAGTTTTGACTTTTCAATTTTATAGGCCAATATTTAAAAAAATCCAGTTTCCCCTAGTGTGAGAATTTGTGCACATGTCAAGAGGTTTTAATGAGTTACATTCAAAATTTAATTAAACTACTTTCATATCAAGGTATATAAATAAACTGGATATAAAGACATAGATAATAATCCAAATTTTAACATTATATAAGTTTTAACTTTTCAAATTTATAGGCCAATATTTAAAAAAATCCTAGTGTGAGAATTGTGACATTTGCTCTCCGGTTATTCCCTCTAATTAATTTAACACCCCTCTAAGAAGTAAGAAATTTAATGTAAATTACTTATTATAATGTTTTCATCATTCAGGCTAAGCATAATGTTTATAGCCTTCAATCTTATTTGGTTACAGAGCCATAAAACAGAAAATTAGACCCCACTTGCCATGCCCACCTGTCACATCCTCTCTTTCAGAAATTGCCAATAGTTCTCTCCGATGTTTAATACTAAATTATTTATAACCAATAGAAACCCCAGGGGTTAATCTATCAAATGACATATCACATTGTTTTCTAGATAGAGAATTGTCTACTTCACTTCCAGTTCAAACTTTATTCCCACATGAAAACATCATCGAGCTCAGTTGAATATTAAATGGCTCTGGTCACATAGCTAGAAAAACTGCGATATTTATGAGACATTGTTCCTTTTTGCATGTTATTATACTGTGTTCTTTGGTACATTATTTAGTTAAATAAAAAATCATTTAGTCAGGAGTACCATTTAGGGTTACATTTCATTGACAGTTGACATAAAAAAAACCAGGTATTTACTTTATTTCTTGTTTTTCATGCGTATTCTTTATTTATCACTAGTAAAGTAACTAAAATGTAAAAACTTGGAACTTTTAGGTTAGAAAAGGTTACACTAGGTAAAAGTAGCCTGTGCATTATGTAATTCAGTGGAGTAACATGAACACCATTTTCACTAATTAATTTACAAATTTTATGGTGAGAACATTAATTTAGACACAGTTCGAAGGTCCAGGGCAAAATTCCCCACCCTCTGGATGTTCCTGATTTTCAGTACTACGAGTGATCTTTTATTGGAGACTAGTGTAGTTAAAAGAAATTTATTAGAAGAATGTTAATTCTTAAACAGACTCACCTTGTTTTGATCCATGGTTTGTGGAACTAGTGCTCCTGACTCTTCTCTTAAAATGTAACTTTGGATAATTCTATTAAAACAACAAAAACATGTAGATAAACCCAAAATACATCTAAATTTCACTCTAAAGACCAAGCTAATATTCTTATTGATATTAATGATTATTAACACAGAGGCATAATGTTACATGTTTGGAGCACTCATGGATATATTATCTGACTTTCTGATGTCAATAATTAATCATATGGTTTATAGCTACAGACACCACTTAAAGGGGCTACCATCAGAAATAAAAATGTTTACTAATTCTGGAATTTGCTGTTACTTAAACATCCAGCATTTTTAAGACTGTCTTCAAGCTCACTTGTGATCAAGGTACCACTAGACCTCTCACTCAGGTCACTAGTGATGAAGGTACCACTAGACCCATCACCCAGGTCACTAGTGATGAAGGTACCAGTAGACCCTTCACCCAGGTAACTGGTGATGAAGGTACCAGTAGACCCATCACCCAGGTCACTAGTGATGAAGGTACCACTAGACCCATCACCCAGGTCACTAGTGATGAAGGTACCAGTAGACCCTTCACCCAGGTCACTGGTGATGAAGGTACCAGTAGACCCATTACCCAGGTCACTAGTAATAATGTACCACTACACCCATTACCCAGGTCATTTGTGATCAAGGTACCAGTAGACCTGTCACCCAGGTCATTTGTGATCAAGGTACCAGTAGACCCGTCACCCAGGTCATTTGTGATCAAAGTACCACTAGACCCATTACCCAGGTCATTTGTGATCAAGGTAGCACTAGACCTGTCATCCAGATCACTAGTGATGAAGGTACCACTAGACCTGTCACCCAGGTCATTTGTGATCAAGATACCACTAAACCTGTCACCCAGGTCACTAGTGATGAAGATACCATTAGACCCATCACCCAGGTCACTAGTGATGAAGGTACCACTAGACCCATCACCCAGGTCACTAGTGATGAAGGTACCACTAGACGCCATCAC